AGTCTGGTCTTGTTATTAAAGGACATTCCATTTTACGCTTGTCTCGGCTTTCGTTACTGGACGGAGGAAGGGGTCAGAACATAGATTTATTCCAGTTTATTCATGTTTCTGGTAGTATTTCCATACAGTAATCCATTTCTATAGGCATCTTTTCCCCATTCCAAACAAAGCCATCATTTAGGAGCTGTGATGCTTTGAATGGAATCACTGGGCATTGGAAAGTTGGCAAATGATAAAAATTTGGGATCGTCATCCAGATTATGTCCTTCAAAATAGCACAGTCTTGTAGACAAATGTGGTATTACAAAATGGTTTCCTCAGAGTTAATGTTGTGCATATTGAAATTGATTAATCCATGATATTACAACTACTTTAAAAAGGAAAAAAATGGCATAAGAACATATTCATCATAGAATTGACAGATATCTCAAAGTCCATCTACTTGATCCCTGATAATGCAGAGGTCTTCTGCAATACATTCATGCTGAATAGGTCTCAGGTTCCATCTGTAATTTCATGAAATTCTTCCCAGTCATCTGTTAAAATTTGAATATGCTCATCCAACTTTTGTCATTTGGAGAAACTAAACACAAAGTGTCAGACATGAAAAAGGTACAACATGTAGTTTGCCAGCATCTCTTCTATGGCCCTCAAAACCATTTCTAACTGTTGTTAACAATTTTAGGTGTTTTTAAAAACATTATGGAAACTGTTAAGGGCCAAATTAATTATTTTAAGGCACTTTTATCAATTCCTGAAAATGGCCCTTGGCCCCTTTTAAAGTATGCCCTTCAACATATCATGTAAAATCTGTTACATTTCTCATACAGATGGAAATTCTCTACTCCTACACAAAGCATTATTAGCCTTTAAAAAAATGAAGATGGCTATAATTTCATAATTAATTCTATTCCAGTTGAAGTTACATCCCAAGATTTTTTTTAATGACATATGATTTTATCTTTAGTTCAGGCTGCTAAGACCTGTAGTCTAATGAAATTAAAAAAAAAAAACCTTCCTGCATAAACACACAAGATTGATATCAACATCTTGTAACATATGTCTCCTACAATCAGGATTACCCATTTACTGTGAATTAAGGATTGGGTTTGCAGGCATACTTATTTCAATATATATACACACTTCTCGCAAAGCAATGTTTCTGTTCTAAAATGCCTTTTGTATGCATTTTCTTAATATATTCATTTTAACTTTTTTCCAGTTACAAGCTGTGCTGCAAAATTCTAAGAAGTGCTGGTGTCAGCATGCATTTACATATTTGGTTCCATTTATATTCAAGAAGTCTAAAATTGGTGCATTTACATTGTTTGGACAGTACAAATACATTCTTCATTTTATGCTCACTTTGGCTATATGTGTGTCTCACTCTTTTTGGTGACTGATATATACATAGAGAAAGAATATACCCTCAATTGGTCATATGTCTAAAAGTATGCTGAAATTTGCCTTTTACTCCTATGTTATTATTGAATTCCCTTTAGAATCTCTTTCTATATTGTTTTCTTCTTGGTGGCGGCGGAAAATACAGTTGCTGTTGTTTTCTTTGCACGTTTCTTTGTTATTCTATCTATAACCTTCCTTGCAGTTAGATTTCCAATGTGAAAAAACCCTCCCAAGATTATTGCTTCGAGATATCTTTCTTTGGCATTCAGTGGGGCCACAGATTTCTAAATAGTGATTGTGCATTAAAAAACAGGATGCTTACACCATCCCTTAACCCAGTGGTGACATTCAATTTTTTTTACTACCAGTTCTGTGGGCATGGCTTGGTGGGCATGGCAGGAGAAGGATACTGCAAGGAATTTCCATTCCAGCCCCACTCCTGGGGGAAGAATATTGCAAAATCTCCATTCCCACCCCACTCTGGGGCCAGCCAGACGTGGTATTTGCCAGTTCTCTGAACTACTCAAATTTTTCGCTACCGGTTCTCCAGAACCTGTCAGAACCTTCTGAATTTCACCCCA